TTTAATGATCATTAAATAATGAGTTATAGTTCTTGTGAAAGAAATAAAATGTGGAAACAACTGCTATCTTCAAAACCCTTAAACCCTACTTAGGGAAAAGACTGATATTTCTAACATTTAAAAAAAACATTTTAATGGTTCAAAAAGGTCTGAAAATTTTTTAAGTAATTTAAGAACTGAAGGACAAATAAAAGTATAGGCAGTCTGATATTGAAAGTACACTACTGGAAAAGCAAGGATTATTCAACAAATGATGTAGGTACAATTAGTAATTTTGCAAAAGAAAATAAACTCTAGCTCTTCAAGTCATCCCATATATCATTTTTAAAAAATAAAACTGTAGAAAAACTAGAAAAAAATAAAAAATGACTATCAGCTATATGGTAGGAGACGGGGTTCCTAAATGGAGAGAAACAAATCAGAAAATAAGATTATAAAATAATAAAAGGGATCAAGATAAAAAATTAAAAGGTAAATTACTTGCAGAAAATATGATACATGTGATGGGAATTTAATATTTTTGCTATATAAACAATTCAAACAATTTGATAAGATACAAAAACTGAAACAAGTGTTAAATAAAAATAATTTAATCAGAGAAAAATGTTCAACATTAAAAAGAAATTATTAAAATGAGACATCATTTGTCTAATTAGCAAAAAAGATTTTTTAAAATAATAATCTGGCAAGGACATTATAAAAATACACTCACATATTGTTGATAAAAGCATAAAGGTTTATCTTTTCAGAAAGCAGGGTGGTGACAAATTCCAACATGCTCATACCCTTTAAATGAATAATTTCATTTCTAGAAATTAATCTTTAAAATATTCTAAATAATGAAATGTGCCTAACATAAAGGAATGATTAAATAAACTACAATTACTTACTGAAATATTAGAGCAACTTAAAAAGAATAGAAAATATGGTATCAAAGAAAAGTACTTATGATATAATAAAAGGCAGGATACAAATTAAAATTTTAAAAAGTAAATAAAAAATAAGGAAAAAATAATAAATAAGAACACACTATATTGCAGAGAAACTCTAGCTCATTAGGTCAAATTGTGAGCATGGCATTAGTTACAGCCCTCTGTGTTATCTAGCCTGGATTATAGGAAGAGCCTACTCTGCCTTAGTGATGATACACTGAAACATATCTTCTGAATTGATGTCAGAGTAATTTATATAAAAATGCCAACATGAATGTGTCACTTCGATGATGTCAAAGAGTGGCAATGCTTGAGTAGTATATCCCAACAGACCAAGCTCAGGATGTTACACAATGACAATATTTGAATAGTGTACCCCAATAGACAAGCTTTTTTATACCTCATATACTTAAGTAACCTTTTTTACTTTTCTCTACTATACCTTATTTGCCTGTCTATCTCCTTTTCAAGCTTCAGGACTCACTTTAGGATTCTCAGGATAGATTAGGTGCTTTCCCTAAGACCCCATAACAAGCTTGTCTATACTTCCATCTGGGAATGTACTACATAGTGTTAGAATTCTGTTTAAGGACTGTCTCCATCATTACTCTGTTATCTGGCTGACATAAAGTAAGTAAGATAAAATTCATGTACTTAAATAATCATTACATAGAAAACTAAAGAGAGGTAAAAACATACTAGAGGCAACACTGATTTGCATTTTTGGAGTAACTCAAGTATTAGCCTACATTTAATGAGGGATGACTTCTTCACAAATAATGTACAAACTACTAGCAATATAAAGATATTGATCCTGACCCCAGGAAATACATCATCTGGAAGGGAAAACTTCTGGCAAAGGACTTCAAAAAGTAGGCAAGCCAAACAGCATGAATGTCTCAAACATACCATTCAAGCATATTTCTTGTATTTCCATATAGATTGTAGATGAACTATATTAACTATCTTTGTATCTCCCCTGGTGATTCTTACATAATTATTTCCTACTAAGAATATGCTGTATGACATATTCTGTAAATGTTTAGTAAATATCACAAGAATATATATTTATAAAATAGAATATACTAAATAAAATCAGCAGATAAATTACCTTTTAATATTGGGGGGAAAAATTCCAAAGTATGTTTACTTAAATTACTTAGAGACCTTTAAGTAATAAGACCATGTAAAAATGAAAAAGGTGAGGGAAACTGTGAGAAAAGAACACAAATCAAACATAATGGTTATCTATGTAAAAATTCTATTATGTATACTGACAGCTGAAAGTAGCCATTGGTAGATGTAATCACTATGGTTTGTTATAGGGATTAAATTACAATTTTAAAAGATATCACAAATTCATTGATTTCCTTGTTTCAAAATATTTATTTGAAAAGCAGATTCTCTGTTTATGTAATTTTTTTATAGCACAAGCCTGCTCAGTCAATTTTAAGTATATTGTAACATCTGATAGTCAAATATAAGAATAAGGCATTTGCCTCATAAATGAAAAACTTTATGTTGCTATCTCTAATGTACAGAGCTTTATCTTTAAAGAAAAAGGAAATTTTGAGAAAATGATCTGTATATTTGAATCAATGCTGACATTACCTGGCATAGCATTCCCACTTATGTCAGCATTCATGACAGCAGTGAAAACAAAGAAAAATAAACATTAAAGGAGAATGCTTAAAAGGAGGGGAGATGTAAAGCAAAGATTTATTCTGCAATGAAAATAACCTTCCCTTAGAAAATAAATCTAAGGAAACTAAAGTTGGCTACAAATTTATGCTGATTGTCATTAATGAGATTAATGACATTAATCTTATCCTAATTAAGAGTTCTGATTTTTATAGCAATCCTTTATGTTTTCTCAATATGCAGAGATATCTGAGAATTCAGTATCTCATCTTATTTATGACTCCTCAATTGTATATCTTTAACATCCATTACAGAACAAAAATAGTAACCTATAAGAAACTTTTTAAAATTTTTTTCTCAGTATTAAATATGCTCTGAATTAAGTAGTTTAGAAACTATATATTGACAAATTTAAACTCTCTGTTCTTAAAACCTTTTAACTTTTTCAATGACAGTGGTCTAAAAATATCTATAAAATCTGAGGTATCAATTGTTATAAATACTTTGTAAAAAAAAATCAGAAAAAAGATTAAATGCTAAAATAGTTCCTCAAGTATATGGATGGCTCTGGATACTATTGATATTAAATCATGAACAATTAATTGTATGTACATAAAGATTTGTTCTACCTTAATCTGAATAAAAGTAATTGTATTAAAATGAAATTAATAGCCTACACATATACTAAACTCATACTGACTGAGACAAAATTTTTCTTACTCATCCTTATGATTAACTAATTAGATATTTTACTTGGTGTGCAAGTTTGAAATAGATAGTGATCCTCTAAAGAAATCAGTCTTTTTAAAATATCTTCCATGACCTACAGACTCAATGAAAACTTTTACTATTGGAGAATAATTAAGGACTTACCGTAGTATCAACAATGATAGTAGCACAAGTAAATATTTATAATGATATTCTAATATAACTGGCCTATGATGTCTCCAACTTAAAAATATCCAGGTCATAATTTATCTTTAAACATTAATTTTCTCAGAAAAACTAATCCACCCAACATGCATCTCCCAAAATCCACTTGCCCACCCTACCAATCCAACAATACATACCTTTGTCTTTACCCATCACTCTCTCTATACCCTTCTCAACATGTACACAGAGCATTACTCAGTGTGTGAATAATGTTATAAAACTATTTGGTATTTTGACAGGATGTTCAAAATCAGAGAAGAGGCTGTGAGAAATAAGTGTAACTTAGGAGAGCTAATCCTAAGGGCAAATTTCCAGCAAAGCTGGAGAGCCTAAGTGAAATCCACTCTACCTTCCACCCTTAAGCTGCCCCCCAAAAGTCTCCATTTCATTTGTAATACTCTTAGAAATTCCACCAGTTAGGGATTTATTGGTATCCTTTTTTTTTCAAAAGGTAAATACATTTATGAGCATTAAAGAGATTCCTTACTAGTATTTAGACTTTGTGTAAATTAACTTATTAGGACTGCTTTTCTTCCATAACTAGCTGAGACCAATAGCACTACTGGAGCTGGAAAAGCAAATTGAAGGATTAGTGAAATAAGCAATGGTTAAGTAGAAACACTTGGGGTCGGGGGTAGGGTAGCTGGTGTGGAAACCTCATAATACCATGGGAGCACAATGCAGCAGGAAGAACTTAGTTCTGAGCAGCCCTGAATTTAATCTGGTTCAACCACTTATCATGTCACCATAGGCAAATAACTTAATCTCTTTGCACCTCAACTTGCTCTATCATGAAGTAAGAATATTTCCCCACAAGATTGTCTTATATAAGAAGAGTAGCATAAATACCGGACATATAACAAATTCTCAAAAATGTCAGTTTTCTTCTTTTCCATGTTCATTATTGAGGCAAGAACAGAGAGGCACCAAAGAAAAGGAAGAAGTAGGCTGTATCAAAATGGTGCCAAAGAGAAACTTTTAAAATTTCCTCTGGAACACCCGCTTCAATCAAGAGAATGTAAGAAAATACTTGTTTCCTTTTCTCTACCCCACCCCTATTCTTTTTTCATGACTATATTGTCTTAGTCTCAGAACTTAAAACTCATATAGTAGCACTAAATTTATTATAACACTACATTATTACTTGTTTATATTAAAGATAACATAGATCTTAGAAGGTGGACTGAGAATCAATCTACCATTCAATTCAATACAGCAAATATTAATTGAATGTCCTATATGGGTAAGGCGTGTCTTAGGTGATTGACAAAAGAGGGAGGAGAATGAAAAGATGAGTAAGAAAAATCCTGCCTTTAAGGAGTTGGTAGTTCTACACTTTTGATTTCAGAGAATTTTATAGCATTCATCTCTGGGAAAACCAGTTAGTTAATAAGTTAGAAACTATGCTACAGAAAACTTTTCTTTTTTTTTAAGATTCTACTTCTATTAGTCAAATTTTCATTAATTGTTGAATTTTTAATGCAAAAAAATTACCTGCCAAAATTTCGGTGTTTCGTGCAGCTATTGTTTTAACTTTTATTATTCCTGATTCAGCAGCCTGTAAGAATAAAAATAATTAGAACACAAAACTTACTATCAACATGAATTATCTAGGGAAATCACATATAATAGAAAAATCTTGAGCACAGAGTCAGTAACTATTATGTTTTTTATTTACAAAACTCCAGATACTAAAGCCTACCAGTGATTTTATATATATATAAAATATATATTCATAAAGTCATGTAATATCATTAGTTTAATTACTTACATGCAAGCTCTGCACTATAGCATATTACTTTTCTCAAAGGTGCATCTGGAATACCCTAATTCCTCACAAATTTCAATGTTCAGAAAATAAAAAATAATAAACAAAAACAAAGCCTAATGAAAAAAATTAGGTTTCTCTTCCCCATTTCACACTTCCCACACCACCATAAAAATGGCAAAACACTGCAGTATCAAATAAAACTGAATGGATAACCAAGTACTTGCTATTACTTTTAGGTAACATTTCTTTTAAACATCCAGTTTTCAGAGGTGTTCTAAACACTTCATCAGAAGTATATTGGGTAGCACTACTCAGAAATCGTCTAGCATTTTATAAAATGCCACATAGCTGTGCTGTCCAATACTATAGCCATTGGCTACATGCAGCTATTAAGCACTTTATATGTAGCTAGTCCAGAATCAGTTGTGCTCTAAGGTTTGTTGTCTTTTTTTAAGATTTTACTTATTTATTTTTAGAGAGAGGGAATGAGAGAGAGAAACATCGATGTGTGAAGCATCAATCATCTGCCTCTCACACACCCCGCACTGAGGACCTGGCCTGCAACCCAGGCGCAGGCCCTGACCAGGAATCAAACCAGTGACCTTTTGGTTTGTGGGATGATGCCCAACCCACTGAGCCACACCAGTCAGGGATCTAAGTTTAAAATACACACTAGATGTTTTTAAAGTTTAGTATGATTAAAAAAAAAAAAAAGGTAAACTAATCCTTAAATATTTATATTGACTGTTGAAGTGACAATATTATGAAAATACTGGGCTATGTATGTTATGAAAATTAATTTTTTTTTACTTTTTAAATGCAATTTAAAATTATATATAGGGATTACACTTATGGCCCACATTATTTTTCTGTTGGACAATGTTATATAATATTGATACATAACTTCCATTAGAGAAACTTAGAACATTTTAACTATCAAGAAACATGCCTATTTTCTGCTTATACTGGTCTTCATAACTCCAAAAATAATACATAAATACTTAGAAGTTATATGTCCAAGTTTCCCTATTAATTTTCTTGCTACTTGCTCATTTACTTTGTTGTTACTTACTACTTGCTAAGGGACAAGCGGTAACATGCTCCAAACATCTAAAAATAATGGTGAAAGAACACCAGTGTCCTATGGGTTCTTCGTTTGAGGACCAGTGAATTAATACATAAAATAAATAACATACTGTTGACTACACTATGTGCAGTAGACTTTTATCATTTTTTTGGCTTCCAATCATGTAAAGTGTTTGCTTGTATTTGGAGAATCCCCAACATTATGAGTTTTGATGCAAGATAGAGCTTATCTTGCACTATTAGAAGTGGAAAATGCTAGATATGCACTTGCTTTCCCACATGCCCTCGCGGCTTACGCTTTTCTAATACACACATCTACCATATGGAGACTAGTGGCACAGAACAGTAGAGAAAGAAAGAATTCTCTCTGACAATGGCCATAGTGGAGGCAGCATGTACTTTCCAAGAGCAGTGATGGCAGCAGAACCAGTGGTGGCATGAAGCAGCCAGTGCAACCAGTAGGGCGATCCTGAGGCATCGAGTCACTGTTCAGCAGAGATAGAGGTAATGGTCTCGCTGGCATGTGGTGCTGTGGTTCTAGCTCTTCAGACTCCCTTTGTTCCTGTACTTTTTCTAAGGGTGGTTCCATCCAGCCTTCTACAAATGCTGTGAACCACTCTATTTCATTTCTGCTTAAACCAGCCAGACTCAGCTTTCATTGCTCACAACTAAGAAGACTAATGGATAAACTCAGGACTTAATAATTTTAAGTGGAAATTATTTTCCACTTCAAATTAAAAGACCATGGCTACTATCAGAAATACAGTAAAAATAAAAGGACTATTTAAAATAAATAAAAATAAAATAAAGGGACTACTTCAGGGAAAGAGTACTGATTTTTCTGATTACTTAGGGCATTGTGTATTAGAAACACCAGAAGCTTAAAAAATAAATCCTGATGCCCAGGTTGCAGCCCATTCCAATTAAATCAGAATGACTGTCAGTATAAGCCAGGCATAAGAATATTTAAAATCTTCAAGTGATTTCAACATACAGCAATACTGAGGAGGTTATTACAATAATATAAGTAAGAGATGATGATGGGCAGGCCAGAGGTGACAGTGATTGAGATAGTAAAAAGTGGTCAGACTCTGGATAAACTTTGAAGATGTACAAAATTGCAAATTTACTACTGTAAAAATTAAAGAACACTGAAAATATTATGTATACCTTGTTATACTCACACTTCCCCTGCCCCCATCTCAAACTCTTGAGTAAATTTCTTACTGGGTCAGTTGAAATTAATCTGTGGTCACTGAGACTTCTTCCACCATCATTTTCAAATGTTCAACCTCTCCCTCTTCTCACTATGGCCCTATGTACCCTGTATATGCTCAAATTAAATATTTCATTCTGCCTCAGTCAAAAGAGCTTGATCAAACCAAATGATCATAAATGCCAATGTAATTTGTCCTAATTTTCTGAATTCTATTCAGTATGACCTTTCTGAATCCCCAGTTTCCAAAAATCAGTCCTACAGTATGCTGGATGTCAGTAAAGGATGTCAAATTTGCCAGGCACTGTTTCTGATTTCCTAAGACAAGTAAGAGTAGACTCATATATGTGTCAGAAATAAGTATAAATAAATCAAGTTATAAATAAGTATACTATATGTTTAACAAATATTGTTACAGATACACATGACAAGGAAGAGGATAATGGACCTTCCATAGTCTACAACTTTCCTGGCCGTGCTAAATCTAATCCTTCAATTCAATCTGAGTGTTCCTCTGAGACTTTGAACCAAATTGGGCTCGAAGCTCAAATAAATTGTCGGCATCTGCAAACCCATTTCAACCAACATAAACCATACAAGAATTTCTGGAGATTTTTTCTTTAAGTAGTTCCAAAGTAGTAAGTGTTTTAAAAGACATATAACTGGTATTTTAATTCCTAAACTTAAGAACTATCCAAAGGACTGTTTGTAGCCTTAGATATAATTAGACCTATCTCATAGCTCCTCATCTTTTACATCTCTATTCTGATTGTCAAATTTGAAACTGTAACATCTTATTTTCATAGGCACTCCGTGTTGCTAAAAAGTTTCACTATCAATGTATAACACCTATATATCAGGGTCCCCCTAACCATCACAGTGTAACCTCATACCTAGGCCTAGCCTACATCTTCAAGTATAGCCTCTGTAAAGCCCTAGCCAGGTAGCTCAGTTGGTTAGAGTCATCTTGACAGGCCAAGCTTGTGGGTTTAATCTCCAGTCAGGGCACATACAAGAAACAACAAATCAATGCATAAATAAGTCAAATAACAAATCGATGATGTCTCTGTCTTTTTCTTTCCATCTCTCCCTTCCTTCCTCCCCCTCTCTCTCTTTCTAAAATCAATTTTTTTTTAAAAAAAGAGTAACTTGTATAAATGGAAGTATTCAGACTCAAAATTCCTTATATTTGTTGAGGATTATGTGTGTGAAAAAGTCTTTAACATCTCGCTTTAAAAATATACCCTACTCTGATCAGATACCTTGTATACCCATAGGGAAATTATGTAATTGTGAAAATAATTATTTTTTCTGAATTGACCCTCACGGGGGAAAAAAAAGTGCCACATTCTACAGACTTGGATAGAGTAGGTTAAGGTGGGTAGTTTAATATTTCTATTCCTGAGGGCAATCTGTGAGATGGGAAAGAGAGCCAAAACTCTTCAATATACTGCAGTACTTAACCCTCGTTACTCTTAAAATTAATCTCTCAACAAATACTTTTTTCTCTTTCTCAATATCCTTTGTTTACCAAAAATAGACAACACCCACCAGGGATTCTGAATATAGAGGCTAGTGGCACAGAAAAGCAGAGAGAGGAGAGAGTGCTGATTCTTCTTCCACGACCACCTAGAATATCCCTGGCCTCACTTTTCACTAGATAAAAATCTTCCTGAGCAATCTCACAATTCCATGGTTTCAACTTTCTAAATTATGAAGACTCCTAAATTATACTCCTCTTCCTTACCTGTCTACTAAACGAGAGAACTTTTTAACCTAGATGTTCGAAAGACATCATAAATTCAAAATATTCAAAACAGATGTCATCTCTCTTACACATACGCACTCACACCTCCACTTCCACCTCAGCCGCAGAAAAAAAACACTGTTTTTCCTTCCCATAATCTCTCTTTCTCTGAGCAGCAGCATCCATCCAGATGTCACTGACCAGAAATCTGGGGTTTCTCCCTCACCCCAAAATCTAATCAGCCATGAAGGCCATGTAGTGAACATATATCTTGTATTCCTTTTCTTTCAAATCCTATTTCTAACCCTTCAATTTTTTTTTTCTCATTTACAACCTAAACTAAGAGATTTCTCTACTTACACTCTTGTCTTCCATCCATCCACTGTCTCAGTTCAATGGTTCCCAGCCTTCACCCCTACTAGTATTTCTCAAAATTAAGTAGTGTAAGGATAGCTTTTAAAAATTAAAAAATCTCTTGGACCAATCCAGTCACTGCAAATTTAAGCATGTATAAATAAAATTTAAAATAAACTCCTTATTTTTATAGCTCTTAAATTAGAAAGCCAAGAAACCAACAAATTAAATACAAACCCAAATTAACATTAATTTAATGCGGAAAATAATGTTTTGCTGAAATTAAACCAATGCTAAAAACGTGAAGATAGACGTAGAGTTTTGGTGCCAGTTCTTCTGATGTTGGCACTGTTATAGAACCATAAGCACTGACAGAAACCATTT